ATCTCCTCCAGATTCAAGTTAACTTACAGTCCCCCAGCCTCCCAAGATGCTTTGTGCCTCCCCTGTAAATCCCACCCCCTCAAAGGGTGGGCAGGCTAGGCTTGGCCCAAGTTTTCTGCTCCAGCTCAGCAGGGAGCCTTGTTTTAGCGCCTCCTGGCATCTGGCCTGGGCCACTGCAGGCATGTGGCTGCATTTATGGAATCCAAATTGAACGTCAGTTCACTTGTTTATCCGTTCAGTCTGTGCAAATTAGACTAACCTGCGAAGACTGAATCGATTCAGCCTTGGGCTTTTTGACTATCTTTACTTAGCCAAAGTCACTGAAGTCCCAGCTCCACACCACTCAACTCTGAACTGTTCCTAATGGCCCTGCACTGCATGATCTTTGTCGAGGCCCTTTAAGAAAACTCTGACTGGCACTTCACACAGGAGGGTCAGATTAAAGGGAGGAAAAGCAATGAGGTACATGGAGAAACTCCTTTCCTAGAGAACAAATCAGCCTTGAAATAATAATAATGTGTAATGAGACCCTCACCAGCTAACGAAGGCAAATTTATTACAATGGTTAGAGGAAACACAACCTCCTTATTGGACTCGGCACAGAGCTTGGTCTCAGACATTTCAACCTGCTTCTTGGTGTAAGCAGGTAGGGGAGGGGACCTGGAAAGCTGCAAACCTGGTTTCTGTATCTGGCTTTGCCATTGTTTCATTGGCTCTTGGGAAAATCACTTCATCTCTGTGTGCCTCACTTGGCCTGTATAGGGTATGGACATCATAGTTACCACCCCTTGGGCAGTTGTGAAGTACTCTGAGTGCCCTGGTTGGAGGGAGCTAGCCCAGTGCAATCTATTATTCTTTAAGGATGCCATGGGTAGTAGAGAGGAGGGTAAAAGCTGGTGCAGAGAGTTGAACAAATGGGGCACAAAGCCACTCCATCTCCAGCCCAGGCCTGGAGGTGTTACTATGATCATGAGGATCCTGTGCACAGGGGTGGTATTGCCTGTGGGGATTGGAGGGACTTTCCTGCTATGATATTGTACCATCCTGTTGATGTGCTACTCAGTACAAGGACCAGTTTGATGTGCTGTCAGTCTTGGTCCCTCTGTCTCACTCAGTTTCTAACTGCCCTTCCCCACTCTGTCTGCAACCAGGGCAGCCAGGGGCCTTGCTTCTCCCCTGATGCCAGCAGAAAAGAGGAGTGTTCCCAGGGAGATGTGTGGCATGCCTTTGAGTTCCTGAAACTGGAATCTGGGGGCAGAGTCTGGGGATAGGACCTTGAACTGCCTTACAGGAGAGCATGTTGCATTTTCCCCTGGAATCTGGTTTGGCATTTTACTTTACTCTTGTGCTGCGTGACTGGGATTGAAATGGGACAAGATGCTGTGAAACAGAGCAAAGCCATTCTCCAGCCATTTTCATATTGAAAAACAAGAGGGTGCCCATTACAATATTTACAGCATTGTTTTTCACTTCGGAGGACTGCGCTAGCTTTGAGTAACTCAGCGTAAAACCCAGGATTGCAAAAGGACTGCACTCATTAGAATAGGCTCCGGTTCTCCAGAGAACCCAGAAAAAACTCAGTTTCTTAAACTAATACATCTGAATTCATTGACGTGTGGCTTGTACTATCAGTTAAACGATACAGAAAATGTATTTCTTCCCAGCACTGTCCTTGTCAATTCCCCCTTTCCTCAGCTTTCCCATTTACTCACCTTCTTCCTGTCTGTAATATAAATGTAAAGTAAAATGAAAGTGACTGTGTAAAAATGGCACCTTCTTCCTTGGCAGATCTGCCCCTTGTGTATGTATATTCGTATCTGCTGACTTCAGTGACTAAAACAAGATTTTACTGCCTTTTAGGCGCTGAGCTCCATGGAGCCAGCACAGGTACAAGCAAACGAGCTGCTTTCGGGTCCTTGGGCATCATCAACGCAAATGTTTGCTAAATTCCATTTACGTGGCCAATCAGCAAAACTCGCACAACCCCAGTGGAAACCAAGAGCCACTGAGGGCACAATTTGGCGGGAATATAGCTGTATCAGAGTAACTGGGGGGAGAATTTGACCCTCAGATCCATGACTGATGATAATGGTAAAAGAGGAGAGAGGTTAGCTTGGTTCTTGGATACCAGGTTGAGTTTGCAGACCTGTCAGCAAATACAGAGTCTTACTTCTAAACAGAATACATATGATTTAGAGAGGCTGAGAAGCCATCAACATGTGTGTCCCGGAGGAGCCATTTTTAGGGAGTCATTTTTCAGGATAGAAATGCACAGTAAGGCCACCTGCCCAGATGTCCTCCTTTCCTGTCCCACTCCCATTTGCCATTTGTCTTTCTTCAGAAACAAATATGTACCATGCCTCCCTAGTACATTCAACTTATCCTCTTACTTGAGGTGGGAGGTCTTGTCTTTCATGATCTCCCCTTTGGCCAGTTCCCTCCTTAATCTCCCTTGACCTTTCTGAGCAGACACATTGGCTCAGCTGGACCAAGCCAGACGGGTGAGAGGCATCTTCTCCAAGCAGCTCACACTGCCTTGCATTGCATTTTTCATATTTATATTCTAATTAGTCAGCAGGGTACAATAGCTGGGTGTTCACACCGGTAATTCTCCTTTTAAGAATGATGAGCAGCGGAAGGAAATCTCTGACAGCCTGCTGCTTATGTGCAAATGAGTTGGCCTAAGTGTATTTTTAACATACTTTCTAAACTGAGTTTAGTGCTTATGCATGGTGTCGGGGGGACACCCTGGGAAAGTGGAAAAACACTACTCAGCAGTAGCCCATCTAATGTAAACTTCCTTATGCCTCTGTCAGCAGAGCCTCACCCCTCGTCTGATGTGGAAGCACAGTGTAATGGCTGTCTGCTAGACATTTGGTTCTGACGCTGGCTTCTGCCTTCAGTACAGTGCAGTCCAAGGTGGTGGCAGATACTGGCTTCGAGCTAGGTCATGCTGTAAAAATACCCTCCCCACTAACATGACACTAATGAAGGAACTGAAAAGATTTTAATCAAACAGTGCTGGTAAAACAATAAAACTTCTGTCATAAAAATAAGGAACAGCAACCAGGATGCTAAACGTATGCCCCTTGCAGGCTGTCATTTCATTTCATTTTGTTCAATTCTGGAATTCATTATATATTTTCTGTCTTCCTCACTTTCAGCTCCTTTCTCTCTGCTGCAGCAGCATTTAAAGGAAGAAAGCTTCCTTATGCTGTGAAGCTAGTAAACACGATCACGGTGGTTCCAGATTGCTGCACCAGCTCAGCCACACTCATTTGTTTAGAAGATCCCATTGCAGGGCTTTTCATCCTCAAATGACAAGAGCAATCTACACACTGGCTGGGTCTACACTTGGCAGTGGGTTCAGCATAGCAATCTGTTTCCTTTTTCTGCCTGGCAGAGACATGAATCAACATCCAGAACAATGTGGGAAGTAGCCTCAAAATTCAAGACCCCGTATCCTGTCAGTTTCCAAGAAGTGTTAATGAAGCTGAGGAAAAAAAAAAGGCTGATCTGAATCTATAGCGTTGTGTTTCTCACAGTTGGATCATCTATAAAGCTCCTGTCATCCATACATTTTGTGTAGGAGAACCGCTTGTCAAGCAGCCACAATTCAATCTCTCTCCTACTCTGAATTCTAGTCAAACTAAATACTAATCCACTTGGGGTTTGAAATTCAACTGTTGCAGAATAAATGCTCCCCCTGTTTGGAGGAAAATATGACCATCTGAGCATTACAGAGGAGCACGGACGTGGCCTTGAAAGCCCAGGGATTCCTGGGCTCTGTGGGGAACTCCAGACCTAAGCCAGCTGCTCTGGAGACAACATGAAAGAGTCAATCTCTCTGAGAAGCTGCCAGGAACCCTGACAGGGCAGTTCCCTCCCTTAGCAGCTGTTCATTATTCCCTTCCATCTCTGAAAAGGGAGAGGCCAAAGAGAAATGAATGCTGCTGGCTTCACAGTTTTCCAGGGACTATACCAGCTAGGGTGACTGTTTCCCCGCTCCACTTGTTTCCCATGTTACAAGTATAGGCATCTTGTTTGGGAAGAAGGAAGCTTGCACCCCTTTTCCAAAACACTCAGCCCAAGTCTAACCTTAGTTTCCCAGCGTAGCACAGACTGGAGCTCCCTGGGAAATGCAACACATCTATGACCGCATAGAGGGTATTCAGGTCTTCACTGATGATGGTTTGATTTGAGGAGAAATGGCAGAGGAGTATGATCAGAAGCTCTGAGCAGTTTTAGAGACAGTCAAAGCTCAGGAGCTAAAGTTACACAAAGAGATTTGGATGGACTTGGGCATGGGCTGTTATGAGAGGAGTTGATATGGTGCAAACAAGACTGTTAATAGTGCCGTTCTTTCCCCTAGCCTGACAACTGTGGGGTTACCTAAATCCCAACTAGTCAGCAAGGGTAGATAGTATGTTCTCAACATAAAGGAGTAAATACACCATAGTTGGTGCATCTTCAGAGAATACCACTTCTCTTGTCTATGGGAAGGGGGAGATTCAGGATATTTTGCAGCAGTTAAGAAAGGATTCTTCCATTTATAGATCTTCTCATCATTTTTACTGTGCTCCCCTTTTTCCGTGTCAGTTAGTGAGGATTGCTTTGCTTTTTCTGATTTTCCTTCCACTTACTTTCCTTCCACTTCAATTTTAGCCTAGGTTTACAGCCATAAGCATTACTATTGGAAGGGAGGGGTGACTTCAAATGACAAAGCCCATTTCTTTGTTTGAAGGCAGGTGTTTTTCTCTTCTGGCTTTTTCAAGGTCTAATTATTCTGCAGCTGATCTAGTATGCACTTGGTAAGATCAAAATGTAAATGTTGGATTTACTGTTCAAGGTATTTTTCATTTGTTCCAGGAAAAGCAGGCATTTAGCAAAATAGCGAACTACAGTTTTAACTTAGTGTTTGTGGTGCTGTTCAGACAATAAGGAAACCCCTACCATGGGTTTGCTTAGTTCATTTCATCTGACATATTCTTTTTCTACAGGGGGTCTTGACCTCATCCTCATGCCAGGCCTTGGGTTCGACAAAAATGGCAACAGACTGGGAAGAGGAAAGGGATACTATGACACCTACCTTGAACGATGTATGAAACACCCCAGAGGGAAACCTTACACCATTGCCTTAGCTTTCAAGGAGCAGATCTGTGAGTCAGTACCAGTGTCAGAAAATGATATCCAAATAGATGAAGTCCTATATGAAGACAGCTAAGTGGCTTTTGAAACCGACTGATCGCAGAACGACCAGCCAAAGACTTCATGTCCTATTGGCACATCTTTGTCATCAGCATACATGACTTTTGTGAGGGTACAATATGTTATTTTTCTTCTGACCAAAAGAAAAGTCAGCAAAACAACATTCTTGCTAATAAGGACTGTATTGATCTCATCCTAATTACATAATATCTAGTGAAAAGTCTTATTCTGGAATCAATAGAAACATGAATGTGTGACTATGTTTTCATTAAAATAAAGATCATTTAATCTAATCCTATCTCTGTTTGTTGATATTTAACATGACAATTTTATTACCCTTATTGAACATTGATTTCAGCTACTGTGAGGTTTCATGATCGTATCTGGAAGTTTGTATTTGTTGTGACAAAAGTTTGAAGTATGGCCATGGCAGTCACAAATTATATGTGACCATGACCATTAACGAAACAGTAGCCAAGAAATCAGTAGTCAAGATACAAAATAACATGGCATAAAGGAATTGATAATAAAGGGCTTTAGACTGATTTCACAATTTTATACAATAATTTAGATTATATGCTTCATCATTAAAGAGTTTTATAATTGTAGAAGAGCTGGGAACAGGATAGTTAATGTTTTTAATGTAAACCCAATTTTTTGACTTGACCATAAAAATGTGCCTTGGGCTGAAACTTAGTAGATGGGTTCTCAAGCTGGGATTGTTTTTAACTATAACTCAATATGACTTTGATTTAAAACCTACAGTGTTCCAGGTCATTAATCCATAATGAAGTGGAGTAGTGCTTAAGATGTCTGTACAATATTAAAGGATAGAGAGAAGCTAACAATTACAGTAGAGAGCTACTATTATTGAAGGATAAAGGTTTTGGAGGCGATAGCCTCTGAGAAAGATGAAAGCTATTCCATTCAAGCAAGTGAAAGAGACGTTTTTGGAGATTGCATAAGGAAATATTTGTCATGTGCACAATAATTTATGAGAGGGGAAATTATAGAGATACATTGTTTTCATTAGTTGTTTTGTAAAACTATACCATGTTTTTGTGCATACTGCCAGTATGAAATGGAACCAAAACAACCCCAGTACTGTGGACTGTGTACCATCCAGAAGACAGGCAGGTTATCCAGGCTGACCTGGACAGGCTCAGCAAGTGGGCGGACGAGAATCTGATGGTGTTCAACGCCGATAAATGCAAGGTTCTCCACCTTGGGGAAAAAACCCCCGCAGCATCCTTATAGGCTCGGCAGTGCTATGTTGGCTAACACTATGGAAGGAAGAGACTTGGGGGTCATCATTGACCACAAGATGAACATGAGCCTGCAATGCGATGCGGCGGTTAGTAAAGCGACCAAAACGCTGGCTTGCATCCATAGATGCTTCTCAAGCAAATCCCGGGACGTCATTCTCCCCCTGTACTCGGCCTTAGTGAGGCTGCAGCTGGAGTACTGTGTCCAGTTTTGGGCTCCACAATTCAAAAAGGATGTGGAGAAGCTTGAGAGAGTGCAGAGAAGAGCCACGCACATGATCAGAGGTCAGGGAAGCAGACCCTACGATGACAGGCTGAGAGCCCTGGGGCTCTTTAGCCTGAAAAAGCACAGGCTCAGGGGTGATCTGATGGCCACCTACAAGTTTATCAGGGGTGACCACCAGCATCTGGGGGAACATTTGTTCACCAGAGCGCCCCAAGGGATGACGAGGTCGAATGGTCACAAACTACTTCAAGATCGTTTCAGGCTGGACATAAGGAAGAATTTCTTTACTGTCCGAGCCCCCAAGGTCTGGAACAGCCTGCCACCGGAGGTGGTTCAAGCGCCTTCATTGAACACCTTCAAGATGAAACTGGATGCTTATCTTGCTGGGATCCTATGACCCCAGCTGACTTCCTGCCCTTTGGGCGGGGGGCTGGACTCGATGATCTTCCAAGGTCCCTTCCAGCCCTGATGTCTATGAAATCTATGAAATCCACAATAATTATAAGATCACTGAAAACGGTGTTACCCATAGAGCAATGTGGTGGCAGCATTTTAAGGTAACAGTGAAATCTGGGAATTAAAGAGATACAGTTGGTAATAAGAAAGGGAACAAAATATTCATTTTCTCTTCTTGCTGTCCTGTGTTCTGTTAATAACATACTTGTCATCTTCAATGCAACTTCAATTTTTCTGAACATGTGTAATTTCTTTTCTCAACCTGCATATCAGTTCATTCATTTTAACCAATCCTCTCTGTTTCCTCATTAAAAATTCTATGAATTCTCAAGCACTGACTACAGAACAGAAAGCCCTTCAGACTTCCCAGGTGATAGCTATTTTTGTGAATAAAATGATGCCTACCGTGTATGTGGGCTTTTTAATCTGGGAGCTATTGTATTCAGTTTTACTTCCATCTTTGCTATCACAGTAACTTTATAACTAATTTAAAAAAAAATCCTTCTGTCATTGTAAATTCAACAGAGCCAAGGATCTGTTTCAGCATGAGGTTAAATTCTACCATAATGTCTAGTACCCATTTCCATAATATAATGAACGCATCCATAGTATGTTAGAAGCCACAGTGAGATCTAACAAAGCCCTATGTTTCAAAACATCCCACAGGATATTTGCATTTGAAACATCCCAATTCAGATGTGTTGCTGCTGTTCTATTTGGAAATAACTGATAATTTTTTTCCTGAAAAAAACAAAATGTCAAATTATTGTGTTCAGTACCAGCAAGAGTAGGGAAGAGTTCCCCCAATAATGGCAGTATCAGTTGATCATTCATATAAAGCTTGATGATGCAAGGCCTTCCATCAAATTCTTCATGCAAGAAAAGGCTAAAGACCTGGTCCCTCTTGAATTTAGCACAGGGCAAATTCATGTTAGAGTGTGGACATGCAACACATTTGCTCCACAATAATTTAAGGCAGATTTTGCTCAGCAATGTATTTAGTCTGGAGTAAGGAGTAGACACAGGACAAGCTGGGTGCTCAAAGGGGGTGCTGTTGCCTCAGCTGGCTACTTGATGGGAATGGGACTCATTTGCATTGAACAAATGGGTACCACAGAGTGGAAATGACAGTGGTAGTGGCTGCAAGTAACTTTTTCCAAAGGACAGGATTTCCTCCAGAGAAAATGTTCCACATTGTTTGTCTATACTTATGACGAAGAAGTAATCAGAAGTAATATATTGCCATGTGAAGAAAGCCCCTAGGATTGTTAATTGAAATTGGATTGTACCTATACACACAGGCACAGAGGAAACATGAAGGTGCAATATAAGGGTCTATTGACATGGGTTTGCCGCCCCTCAAATGCTGAATCAATGACTGAGCTTTGCAGATCATTGCAAGCAAATGCCAGTAAACTGAAGGTTACCTTGTGACTCCTGTGTGGTGACTTACGGAAAATAAGTCTGTGGTCTCAGCTAGTTCTGAATCAAAGCCATGATCCTTTCACAAAATCAGTTCTCTAGTTGAGAATTCATGCTGGTTAACGAAGGGGCCAATAACAGAATGGGCAGAGGGACAGAAATACTAATCAGGCCACCTGGAGGCAGTCCCACCAGAATAGAGACATTACATATTGGTGGAGAAGGTTACACCATTATTGCCTTGATATAAACAGCAAATTTCCAATTCCAGTGTTTCCAACACTTGTTGTCTCATAGAGGGGCTACTTAAAGCCTTTAGCTTTACATAGGGGTGTGGGAAGAGGGACATGTGTCTATCTGTCTAAATATCTGTCAATCTTGTCCTCCTTCCACATATAAACACACACATTCATAAACGTAAAAGCCAAGAAGGACCAGCCATTGCATCATCAAGTCCCAGGCCATGGAATTTAGGTGGTAACATTTTACCCAGTTGCTCTTTGTATTGATCCCAGTGGTGGGTTTGATTATAGCTTTAACAGCCCATCATTCCAGCCAGTAGTGTCGTTATGTGTTCCTTTGCTAGGTTAGTACCTGTCGTTTCCTCCCTCTTCCTACAGTGCCATCTGTAGGAAGAGGGATAACCTAAGCAGGTTTAATTCCCTGTGCTCCTTACTTTATGTAACAGTCTATGTCCTGATGGGGTTGGTGATCACATTGGGAAGTAAGTTTAACTGTTTCTCAGTTCAATAGATCACAGGTTCAGGTAAAACCATTACCTATAAAGTTTGTCTTACGTCACTTAAATATCAGTCAGGCTCACCACACTTGCATGGTCCGCACTACAGGCACACTTTAGGATCTGGAAGTCAAGGTGGGTCTTCCTGTGTCTTGCACCATAAAGAACTGCAGCATAGATGACATTTTTGTTAGTAATATGTGGACCACAAGTTTCTCCAGCTTGCTTCTTATGGCTGTATTAGCACACAGTGCTGGGTGCTGTACACAGTCTTAGTTACGGCAGTCAAACATTGACTCAAGACACATAGAGCAGGTGGGCTGAGTGAGAAGGGGTAGATTTATCTCAGCTTCTATTCTGACTGTACTTTCATCTTTGTCCTTTCCCCAAAATGTCAATTAATACACAAAAGAGTATGCTAACTTCCTGCTCTAACTCAGCAGACCCACTCTCCTCCCAGCTGATGAAAACTCACAAGTCTCTGAGTCAATTATTCTCTAAGGTGCCACCCTGCCCGGTGTTCTGCCCCTTTCAGACCAAAGAATGCTACTTGCTTAGTACTCAGCTAACAGGAATTTGGTGCCACATTCTTTTTTTATCATATTGGTGCAAGCTGAAGAACTAGACTCCAGTTCAGCTTGACACCACAAATGTGTTTAAATCCCATGGAAATCAGTAAGACTTCTGCATACACTTACATGTTTTGCTGAACAGGGAGGGTTTGCTGAAACAGGTAACATTAGGCACTTTTTCAAAGGTAGTTTGGTACCTAAATTCTTATGCAGATCCAGGCCTTCATTTGTTTTATTAGAGAGACCTACTTTGGATGGCATAGATTCTATTGCTCCTTCATATTATGCATAAAACAAAGAGATCATATGAGTGGAATAGAACATTTTCAGAGATTAACACTATCCTGCTGCTACATCGAGGTGGAGGCATATTTCCAAGGTGGCATAGATTGATTTTTTTGACCATGTTGTATTACAGTGATTCTCAGCTAGGGTAATGAGGCACCCAGGGGTGCCTTGAGATCCTTTCAAGGGTACCATAGGGTGTCACACAATGTTAGCACTATCAGGTGTGCCAACATGATTCACAAGATAAACCCAGACATTTCAAATAGGAATCCAGGCTGTTAAAACCATTTTGCCCTGCTGTGGTCTTTCTGAGCTCTTT